CCACGGCCACCGCCGGCGGCTAACAAACCGGCCAGCATAGAGTCCTGGCTGAACAACACGGTTGATCCTTTTGTCCAGGCTTCGCCAACAACAGAAACAGCAACGGTCGCCGATACACAAATCAGCAGCGAACCGCCCATAAGGGAATCGCGTGAGACACTGGAACCACCGGTAAAGCCCGAAAGTCGACCAGCTGCCGAGAAGCGGCCAAAGGAAGAAGGAAAGAAGGCGAAGGAAAAAGAGGCAGCAGCACCGGCCCCTACACCATCTTCGAAAAGGCCAAAGACCCCAAAGTCAGACAGTAGCAAGGGCAAGGCAAGCTCGCAGGGCGAAGACAGCGATGCGACAGCGAAAAAGACGAAATCACCGGTCAACCAGGAGGGTCTGAAGAGGAGGCGGGCCACCAGAGGAGCTCCAGTTCCTGCGAAATCTGGAGGGAAGAAGCCTCTCAGAGAAATCCTCAAAGATGCCTTCCGCGGTGAATCGGGCGGTTACAAGCTTCCCCCTGCAGTTTATCCCAGCTGTGAGGCTTCCGAGTACGACGATGAGTACTCTGAGTACACGGAATCAGAAGTCAGCACAGAGCGCCCTGGGTCTTCCCACAAAAGGCCTATCTCGGACTACTCGTCATATTACTCGTCTAACTACGACTCACTCTTGTCTTCGGACGTGTCTGCTCAGGAGCCACCACGCAGAAGACCCCCTCCCGTCAATGGCGGCGGGCATGAATTGTCAACTATCATTTCCGAAGAGGCTAGTACCGTGAGCGCGACGGATACCATGTCCGAGATCTCTCACACCACCGTTACGCAACCCACAGCAACACCACTCACAGAAAGAACTGAGCTCTCTCGTCACCGAAGTCACAGGGGAAGCCGGAAGGGCGGGAGCTTGAAACGCCGCCTCACCAAACATTCGGACATGATATCAGTATTATCACTGCCTGACACGGGCGAAATCGTCCCGCCCAGTCGATCAAGAAGCGTAAAGTCCTCCCGCAGCCTCCACCGCAGGCCAAGCAGGGTGGACAGGGGCAGGATTGACGAGCTCCTAGACGAGTTTGCCGACGATGAGTACTTTTACCAGCGCGAGCTGAAGACCTTGGTGGACGGTGTGATTCCGGTGCTGTTGACACACGTCCTTCGCGGTGACAGCCTCTTTGGCCGTTCCGAGGCTGGCAGGAACAAGGCTGATGCCATGGCCAAGTCTGTGGTCAACATGGGTGTGGTGCTGGAGAAACTCAAGAGCTCCCATAAGCAGGTGCCGCTCGAGAACATTTATCACCTCCTGACGTGGGTGGAGGATGTATCGCCGCTTTATGACAGTTATGTTGACGTTTGGCGGCTTGGGTTTCAGGGTCTTATTATCAACCTTGCGCCCAAATTGAAGGGCATGAATGATAATGATTCGCTCTTGAATGCGCTGCCCATCAATGAGGATGGTGATATTATTGGGGAGAATGGGGAGAGGGTGGATGTGGCGTTTTTGTTGAAGAGGCCCCTGATTCGGCTCAAGTGGATGACAAAATTCCTTAGGGTAAGTTGATACTGCTATATAGCTCTGGTCCTTTCAATTGTGAGAGGTGGGTGGGGGCGAAACTTGTTACTGATGTTGCCATGTCTAGGCTGCTGTGCTTGTCGTTAATACGTCTGACACGGAGCATCTGCTCTCGGTATTCGAGTCCCTCCAGGAAAAGGCTCGCAAGCGGCACCGAGAGGAGAATGCTCGTATCACGGACGAGGATGCAAGAAATACGGACACCACTCGTGCTCGAGACCTGCGCACTCTGATGCCTCTTGATGGGGTGGGCATTGAGCAGACGCGCCAGGTCGCTGCGCTGGATGTGTTCGCGCTCGATCTGGACCATTCTACCGGGCAACGACTCGAGTGTCAAGTTGAGATGATTCATCGAGATAAGCCCGATGTTCCTGCCGATAAAGGAGATGTTTTGATCAGGGAGATTGGCAACGATTCTAGATCGTGGCTACTGTTCCCACCTGTGCCCATGGCGTACATTTCTGCTCGTCCTAGCGAGACGGACCAGGCTCTGGTGGTCATGATTCGTGGAACCCACAATGGAGTGGAGTGGTATGAACTATTGAAGCTATCCACAAACAGTGAGGAGCAAATTACTTTTTGGCTGGATGTTCTGGGAAGCAGCCCCATGCCGCCACTCACTCGCCGGCGGCCAACAAGTGCTGTCATGGGCAGCACTTCGCCCAAGCCAGAAGATATTCCAGTTGGCGAACGCAAGCTTGGGTCTGATAGACCTACCACCCCTTCGCGTTACCGCCCACGAAAGGTGGTGGAGTCTCCTCCCACCTCTCCTGCTCATGATGATGCAGATGTGTCGCCTGGGCGGACACCTACCAGAGCCACATTTGCGCAGCATCACCCGCCGGAGGAGAGAGATGAAGCTCGCTGGGAGGGCCCGTCGTCCTACGACACCCCAAAAGCCTCGAGGCCGGCACCCAACACGACCCCCTTTCGCGAGGATGGCGCCCCTCCTCCGCCTATCCACCGGACTCTTAGCGAAAAGTCCAACAAGCTTGCTCCCCCGGTTGATCTCAAGGTCACTGGGGTCAAGCGCCGAGGGTCGTCGCCGCTCAAGCACGAGTACCACCCGTCCGATGTGTCGTCTGACAGCTCGACCGAGGTGAGCGAGGATTCAGAGTCTTCGTCGTCTTCCAGCGATGAGCTTGATGAGGATGAGGTGCCGGACACGATCCCTGGGTACAGCATCAAGACCGCGCCGCAGGTCGCTTCCGTCGAGACGGTGGTGTCGGATGATAATAGTATCACGCCTGATCATTCCGCTTCGCAGGTCGGGGTTTCGAGCCAGGCGGCTGAGAAGCAAGAGGGGGAGGAGGGGCAGAAATTTGTGGCTTCTGTCTCGTATTGGTCTTCCAAGAAGGGGATGTGGAAGGATATTGTCAGCGGTGGCATGACGTCTATTGTTGTGCGTCCTGGTGTTATGGAGGTTCACCGGCTGAGCAAGGAGCAATCCAAGGCTTATCCTCTGCAGTCGTCGGGTACTTCAGAGGTGGACATTTCCCACCAGGACGCTGGGAGCAGCGCCCCGCTTATCGCGCTGATTCTTACGCCGGTGGTTATGATCCGCCGCAGCACGGCGCTGGATCTGGAAGTCAGGAGTGTGGCTTCGCCCGAGTCGAGGCTCAAGACTGACAGCACGATGTATCGGTTCCGCGCTGGGACGCAGACGGAAGCGCACAGTTTGTATGAGGCGGTTCACTTGAGCAGGTTGAATAATGCTAGGTACATTCAGCTTGCCGAAGAGGCAAGAGTCAGATCGTTCGGCACGGCGACGGGGGTTCCCGGGGAGGGGAGTGCGGATGGGGACGGGAGCAGCAGGAGACGGAGCTGGTTCGGGAGGAAGAATTCTTACCGGGCGAGCACGCGGGCGCCGAGCGTGTCGCAGCATAGCATGTCGAGCACCATCTCGGCGGGGAGCTTTTTGAGGAGGCTGCTGGGAGGGGGGAACAATACCTTTAATATTGAGGAGTCGACGTTGGATAAGCCGCCTAGGATGAGCACGGGCACTGTTGGGTACTCGTCTGGTGCTTCTTCCGGGGAGGGGGCGAGCACGCCGCCCAGGAGCGTCAACATGTCGTTGTCGGGGTCTGCCTCCCGGGCGTGGTCGACGGGGTTGGCGAAACCTTTCAGTCCTGATCAGCCGTTGGAGATTCGCTGTCATCTTAATGTGCAGAATAATCGGTGGTTGGACAAGGGGGATTGCATCCTGCACATCTCGCGCCCGCCTCCGGGAGTCAGGCAGGAGCTTTCGCTTTATCACGGGTTGGAGAAGAGGATCATTGTTACGCATGCGAGCAAGAAGGTGGGGGATAAGCCGTTGATACTGCTGGATGCGGTGCTGGGGAGCAAGTGCTTCAGTCTTTTGGGGAGCAAGGGGGTGATGTGCTCTGTGTGGGAGGACTTGAGGGATGAGGAGGGGAATGTGGGTGTTGCGCCGAGGATGGGGGGTTTGAGCGGACGGGTGACGAAGTGGTGTTTTCAGTGTAGGAATAGTCAGCAGGCGGATTGGATCATGTGGCTCGTCACGGCTGAGGTGGAGGGGTTGGTTGTTTAGGGGGTGGCGGGCCCTTTTGCCTCTGGGGGTGGTAAAGGGAGTGCGAACAAGGAAAGGGGGAGTGTGGATGGGGCGAGCTTGGGGAGGAGTAGTAGCAGTGGTGGGGGCGGTGGGAGCATAACGCTTGTGGGGAGTGGAGGGGGGAGTAGTGGTATTACCCTTGTTGGGAGTGGGGGTGGGAATAGTTTGGGGAGGAGGGTTAGTTTGAGCCGGAGTAGGAGTGGGAGTGGGAGTAACAAGGGGAGGGAGGTGTTGCTGATGGGGATGGAGAGGTTGAGGGGGGTTAATAGATGGAGTGTGAATTGGTGAAAGTTAATTACATATTATGGGGTGGGGGAGGGTTTACTTGTTTATAATCATGTTAATCGAAAGGGGGGGAGGAGGCATGCGCGCATGGTGGGTGTGTTTGGAGGGAGTTTATTACGGATTTTTGGGATACCCATACACAGGCAGTCATGAAAGCATTAGGAAGAGGGGGGGGCGGTCGGGGTTTCTCTGTTTAGTTTGATGGGCATTGCATGCGTGGCTTACATGAACATACCCGAAGTTTTTAAAAAGTTTTGGTTGTATTTTGAGGGTTAAGTTTGCTAGATGTGAGATGGTTGTGATTGTGATTGGGCAAAGTATGGAAGGTAGTTGAGGTAGTCATGAAGTTGAGACGATGATCGAAGTGTTCAAAGTGTCTGAGGTACCTTTTATCGTCTCTCATATTCAGGACGAAAAAGGGACAAGGCACCGAACAGTTGAAGACAAATAATACCAAGATCTCACTTGCTCAACGAGAACTGATTAACCTGGTCAAAATTACCATCACACACCACACCATGGCTATTAATTACATTACATGACAGGGCATCTCTGTCTGCTTTTTCTGCATCTCAGTCCCCCCCCTTCACCACCAAATACTAGCCTTGCACATCCTCCCATCCGTCTGCTCATTCACCTTCCACCTCTCACTCCCCACCGCGTTCCTCGCGTAAAAGAACCCCTCGGGGTCATACCTCAGCTTGATGGCCATCAACCTCGCGTAATTGGTCCCAAAGAACTCCCTCTGGAACCTCGGCTGCTGGAAGTCGGCCTCGTTCATGTACGCGCCCGAGTTGGGGGTGATGCTCTCAATCGCGGGCATGATATCCTCGGTCATGAGCTTCTGGTTGGCAATCATGTCGTTCCACTTGGCAGGGTCAAAGCTCCAATCGGTAGTCAGAGTGGCGTGGACGAGCGTCTTTCTCCAGGCGGGGAGGACGGCGTTGGCCGAGTTGCGGCCAAAGGAGGAGACGTCGGTGCCGACGCCGATGAAGGTGACGCCCTTCTCGGCGATGTAGCGCGAGGTCTGGGAGAGCTTGGCGGGGGTCTTGGTGAAGGTGTCGCGGGGGATGAGGCGGCCGCCGTACTGGGCGATGCCGATCTGGATGGCGCCGATGGGGAGGGGGCCAAAGTATTGGTCGTAGTGGTCGTAGTAGTTGACCGACTGGGAGTAGGCCGCGTTGAAGTTGACGCCGAGGGAGGTGAGGTTGGCGAGGAAGGGGGCCATGATGGTCTCGACTTGGGCGGCGGTCTTGTTGTAGGCGGTGACGGGGGCGATCATGAAGAAGTTGGAGGTGAAGTAGTAGACCACCATGGTGCCGGCGTCGACCATGGCGGGGAGGGCGGCGTGGAAGGCGTCGATGCCCTTGTAGAAGGTCTCGGTGGGGTTGTTGGCGGCGAAGAAGGAGACGGTGGCACCGCCGACGTAGCTGTCGGGGAAGGTCTTGAGGGTGACGCTGACGACGACGCCGTAGTTGCCAGGGCCACCACCGGAGAGAGCCCAGTAGAGGTCCGAGTTTCTGGTACGGGACGCGGTGAGGAGCTGGCCAGAGGCGGTGACGACCTCCCACTCGAGGGTGTTATCGGCGGAGAGACCGAAAGATGTGCTCAGGGCGGAGTGACCACCACCCTGTGTATAGCCACCAGCAGGGCCAACAGTAGGACATTCACCACCGACAACGATCTGGTTGACCTTGAGGCCTTCGTTGAGGAGGTCAAAGCCTTGGACACCGGCTCCGATCTTGACGGCAGTACCCTTGTAGTACTTGTCATTGTAGTTCTTCCACTCAATGCTCTTCATCTTGTGGGTCCAGACAGACAGAGCACCGGCACCGGTAGACCGGGCAAGGTAGTCATGACCAGTGTTGCGGACGACGAAGCGGATGTTCTTTCTCCTGGCAAAGTTGATGGTAGCAATGATGTCCTGAGCAGTCTCAGCAGCGACTGCATATCTGACATAGTTGCCCAGTGTGCACGGCTTGCCCTGAGCAGTGAAGGGGTCACAGCTCTGGTTGGCAAAGAAAGGGGCCATGATGGAAGCCGAGTCATTCATGCTGCCAGGGGTGTCAGCAGCGTCAGCAGCACGGTGGTTGTTGGACGATCGACTTACTGAATGTCGGGCATCTGCCAGCCATCACGCAATTGTTGGCATCTGACGGGGTCGTAGTTGGGATCATGGCAGGCCTGGGCGAGTGGGACCGTGGCGATCAGCTTTCCACCGACGGTCTGGTTGAAGTTGTTCCACTCGTTGGTAGAGGGCCAGCACGAGTCGCCTGGGAAGCACTTGCACCGAGGGCCGAAGAGGAAGGATTCCAGAGAAAAGGTGGCCGAGTTGGGGTCCAGGCCGAGGATGCTGTCGTCCTGGGCCAAGGTGCCGGCAGCCAAGAGGCCAGCGGCAAGGAAGATGGACTTCATGTTGTTGTTTTTGGTGGAGGAAGCGAATGGACAGAGGTGGCAGTCAATCGGGAATTAAAGAAAGACAGAAGTGACTGAAGTGGGGGGAGGCGAAGATCTCCTGAGGGAGAAAACATGTTGCAGGAGGACAGCAAGCCAGCCATCAAGACTTTTAAAGAGATCTTCCATCTACAATGGAGCGTCGTAAATCACGGCCGGGCTATCGGGACAGTCCGCGAAAGGGGTTAGTAATTCGTAGACTGGAGAATAGTTCATCTGTTGGTCTGAATTCGTGGGGAAAAGGCCTGAGGTGTGTCGGGGTACCATGGAGAACGCATGGACCAAATCTCGGCCAGCTGCTTCTCTGACGGGGGGCCATGGCTGGGGTCAGTGGTTGGTTCCGACTTGGCTTGATCTCTGCTAGTTTGCGCTTGATGTTTATACTATCAGGCTTGGTGATGGTCAAGACGTCAAACTATCTTGCAGCTGAGAATGTCTGGAGTGTAGATTAGAGACGAGTGCGATACTGAGGCGAGGTGCATGCTTGAAAGGGAGGGTGTTCGGTTACACGTTCGATGCCACATGGCAAATGGGTGAGATGAACCATGAACCAACAAGCTCAGGCACGACCAGATCTTGGGGACGCTGCGGTGCTTTCATCAACCGAGGCCTCGGCACATTCCGCTGTAGCTGTAATCCGTAATCATATAACGAGCCCGCTGCCCACTTCTTTTGTGATGAATCGCATTTCGTTATGGTCAGCAAAAAATGTTGGGCTGCGGCTTCCTCGGAACCCGTTAAGTCTTATTGTGACCCTGCCGTCAAGGACAGGGCTATTGTTTTACAACGTGGAATCAAAAAATAGACACAGTTTCTTCTAAGACGCCGGCGTCGACCCCCACACAGAAGCGATAGACTTTTTCTTTTTCTGCGCGCTGAAGAGGCTGGCCAAGGGTCGTCATTATGCGAGGGATGAGGATGAATAGGATTGGTGTGCCTACCCAGGGTTGATAGTGGGAAAGACCGGCCCCCACTGAATGACCCTGGTTTTCTACGTAGCTTGTTTCCGCCTGGATCGTGGAGCGCCCGGGGACACTGGGGGCCGTTCCTAGCCTCGCTAGCCTCAGCCGCAAGGGTTCTTTTGTTCTTTGCCAAACGGCGCGATCCAACGTCGTCCATATCACGTCACACACGATATTGCAACCTGCGGTGCCAGAACACTCGAGAAAAAGCAACCGTCAACCAGAGAGAGACACTGTTCAACATTCGAGGAGAATGCCTCTCTCCTATCAGCAATTCTCTCGCTGCCTTCAATAGTTCACAATATGCAGCCAAATCACCCAGCAGTCACCCAGTCACCCAGTCACCCAGTTTAGTGAGAGACAGGGAAGGGCCCACCATCTTGCAGTTTGCCGGGGGCAAACTCAACTCTAACCATGCATCATCCCCCGAGCGAGCGCCGCACCTGGAAACAAACCCCGCAGTTGCCCGCCCTTCTCGTCCGCCAACACCAACGGCGTCGTGAGCGTCCAATCCACTCTGATCGTGGCAGCTCATCGCCATCATCCAAAGTGGAGGCCCGAGGCGACGATCCCGCCTTCCGGAAGGGGGCACTTCCCCTCGGCCACCTTCCCGGATGAGTGATTTTTGATTAATGGCCCTAATTTGGGGGCGTCGAGCCCGAGCCTGCTAGTTGCTGCTGAGAGGAAGGAAGAGTTAAAGGGCAGAGGAGACAGAAGGAAGGGGCAGAAGGACACTCCCACCGCCGGCACTTCAAAAAGATTCGCTACCATACCATGGAAACCCTGACTCGAACACAAAAGAAGACGAGGCGATCGGATGGATGATCCCGTGGCATTCTTCTCAACCTCCATGGGCCGATCCTGTGATAGAAACTCGGTGTACTCCACTGACCACAACAACAGTGTGCCAATCGCATCAACTGTGGCAGCCAAGCAGCCATGCTCACTGTTTCTCGAAAAAAACACCCCCCCGTGATCCCCTACACGCACATCCCGCGCAGTGGTATCTGAGGTGGCTCTCCTTGATCTTCGCGGCCTTGAAGAGCCCAGCGTGTGGCACACCCTCGGCCAACGCACCGATTGGTGAATAGACAAACACCCCCAGAGCAAGAGACCCGAAACCCCTGCCAAGTGACCGACTTCTCTTTCCCAGAGAGCATGATGCAACGCTTTCTGCATGGTTTCTGAATTCGATTCGGGCCTGCCGTTACAACAGTGGCAGAATTCCCTGCCCGCTTGGTGCGTTGCCTTGACCTCTCTCCTAAACCTGCTACCTAGCATAGATTGTATAAGTCCAAGGGGGCGTCAATATTCGTCTCTGATACAGAGAAACATGCACATACCACCTCGAGGATAGCACGGCTTGTACGGTGTATATCCCTCCTCCTGCCTCCCCCGAGACGTCGTGGGTTTCGAGGGCCTTGTCTGAACTTTCGTCTCGTCTCGTCTCGTCTCGTCTCGTCTCTGGTTCTCGACGCTCTCCGTCCGACGTGCAGATCAACCACCATCTCTGGTTTCGAACCCTCCCGAAATCGTCAGTCAACATGGGCTGGACATTCAACACCAGGGACCCGGATGCCCCTACCATTGGGCCGTTGATCACTGGAGTTTCAGCTGCTCTCACCTTTGTCTCTCTCGTGACGGTATGTCTCCGGGTCTATGTGCGGGCTGCCATGATCAAAGCCTTCGGTGTCGGTAAGACTCCCACGCGAGATTTGGGTGTGTCGATATCGCCTCTAACCTAGTTGTCCACTCACAGATGACTACCTAATTCTCATCACTTGGGTGTGTGCGGCTGGCTTTGCCGTCGTCACCATTGTTCGTGAGTAACCTCGAAGAAGAAACACCAAGCAGCGAAGAAGAAAAGAAAAGCACTAACATCTCGGCTGTCCAGAAACAAAATGGGGTCTTGGTCTACGGAACATTGATGACTTGCCCCCCGAAAATATTTATAACTTTGGGCTTGTCAGTGTGCCACCATCAACCTAGCAAAGAAAATCATCATGAGGCTAACCGCCATCACCAACAGATTCAATACATGGGCGCACCATTCTACATCAGCAGTATCTTGGGCTTCAAACTAGCCCTGCTGTTCTCCTACCTTCGCTTCATCCCCAAGGGTATTTACCGATACATGACCATTGGCGTCATCGTCGCCTGCTGTCTCTTCCACCTTTCTTTTCTCATCGTTCAGATCAACCTCTGCCAGCCAATCGCTTTACAATGGGACCCAACCATCACAGAAGGATCCTGCATCAAGGGAGTGCCCTTCTACACCAGCATGGCCTCCCTCACCATCGTCTTTGACGTTATTGTGTAAGGCCCTCTTCCCTCCAACCCAGCCTAGACCCGTCACTGACTGATTTTCCCCTGTAGTATGCTCACCCCCTTCCCCGTCCTCGTCAAATCCCGCATCCAAAACCGCAAAAAGCTCGTCCTCCTCGGCCTCTTTGGTCTCGGCCTCTTCATCACCGTCATCCAAATCATCCGCATCCAAACCGTCAAGCAACTGGCCAACTACCTCGACTCGGCCCCGTTGATCCTCTGGTCCGCCGTGGAAAACAATCTCGGTATCATCGTCGCCAACGTGCCCACCCTCGCCCCGCTGGTCAAGTACTACAATGAGAAATCCACCGGTGGAGGAAGTGGTCTCCGCTCCAAGAAGACTGGTTACGCCTCCCAGGACGTCGGCTCGAGATATGCGATGAGGACGTGGAAGAGCAACAGGTCCAAGGCGTTGGAATTGGGCAGTGTGCATGATGCTACGGACGGGAGTTTTGAGGGGCATGTGATGAAGGGGAATACCAGCACCGAGATGATTTTGGATCATGAGGGGATTACGAAGAAGGTGGAGGTTGTTATTACTCGCAACTAGGGGACTGACAATTTGTGGGGGGTGGGGGGGGGGGGTGTTGCTGGATATACTGACGAGTGGGGGAGGGAAAATGCAATGACGAGGATATGTGTGCATGACTTGGACTGGATTGTTAAAGAAAATTTTGGTTATGGCTGTTTGGTGTGTTTTCGCTTCAGGATAGAGAGGGCACCGGTCCCTGTAATACATACATAGAGTGGTGTACAACAACTTTTCCAATGGTCATCATGACGGTTCTAGTGGTGGTCTAATGAGAGACGTGGTGATGGCCTTGACACTAAATGCCGCACAGGTGGTGGGCACATGGCACTGTTGTCTTATAGCACAGGACATCTATATTGACGAGATGATAACAGGTAATCCAACACCAAGGCATGACGAGTCGCAAAGTAAACAACATATTATTCATCAAGAAGAATCACAGCAATCGTCGGTCAAACATGACATTTATTAGACCAGATATCTACGAGTCTCGCGGGTCCCCTGACCTATCGTAGATTCGTCGCCTCATTAAAACCTTCCTGGGCTTTTTTCTTCACGGGTCAAGGAAAAAGAGCGGCCACCACGATCGTCCAGTCGGTCATCTCTCCACCCAGTCCACCTCGGGTAGCCCTCCATAGTATATACACTCCAAAACAAAAACCAAATTACATGATAACCAGCGTTTCCAAACCGAGACTGTATAGGTATCATTGTTGTATGTTTGATGTCGTTTCTGTGTCGTTTCCACATCATTTCCATGTCGTTTCCAAGACTCCAAAACTTCGAGGGGGTAATCATGCAAGTAAATCCAACGCTGTCCTCATTCCAAAGAACAAAAGCCCAAAAACAAAAAAGATCCTCCCCTCAGACTGGGGGTGGTCAATGAGATGAGCCAAGATAGCCTCATTTTTGCGTGAGATCAGCCAAAACGACCCTCCGTCTTATCTTACGTCTATGGGATGAAGGGTGTATTTTTGAGCCTTTTTTGGCTGTTGAAAAGTGGTGACGTTTGGTTTTTTTTTTTTTTTTTTGGCGGTGAGGATGTTGTGTGGGTGTCCGGTGACGGTTGTGGCCTGGGTGAGGGTGACCTGGGTGATGGTGAAGGTTGTGGCTCTGTGGCTACTAACCTTGCCAAGATATCGGGCCGAAAAAACTACCAGAGGTCTCATGAGCCGGTGAGATGAGATACATCGTGTGGGCCGTGGGATGAGCCGAAGGTCTGAGTCCGTGGGATGAGCCAAGATGAGGGTCATCTCGTCTCATCTCATCTCACTGACTACCCTGTTCATATCCGTCCATGGAAAGCCAGTCCGCGTTTGGATCAGATGCCCTCCAGGACCCCAAGACCGTAAGGATCAGATGTCCCCATCCGCTCCTCAAAATGACTTGCCACTGGCGCCTGGAGATCCTCCAGCCCCAAACTCAAGTCCACAGACTCCTCACCCGCCTGCGCAAGCTGCTCCCCCTCAACTCCTCCAAAATTCCCGTTTGAGAGCTCTGGGTCAACCGCTCCCAAACCCCGGGGCCACAACGTCGTCCTCCACTTGAGCGAGCTGTTGCCCGCCAGGTTGTTGCCCGCTTGCTAACCACCTCTTCAACCCGCGCTCTCCTCGCGTTTTGCTCGGCAATGGCGGCCTTCCTCTTCTCTTGCCCAATCGTTTTCTTCGCCGCCGTCAGATATCTCCTCCTCCCCCAATCTGTGAGCTTGTCCCAAGCCAGAGGCTTATCCCCTTCGGCTTGAGCTTTCGCGTGCAGCTCCATTGCCATGACGCGTTTCTCTATACACACATGTGATCAGCACACAACCGGGGATAGCAAGGGGGGCTACGTACTGTGCTCCTGGTGGGGGGGTAGAGGTTAAAGGCGAGGGGCGGGCTAGGGGAGAGAGTGGGATCTAGACATCATATTAGTATGAATAAATGAGCTCGGATGAAAAAAAAACATGGGCGTTTGTAAACGAGTAACCACGTTCGCCAACGCTGGCCTGTTGGGAGAGGAGACGAGGGGACAAATCGTTGAAGACATTCGCAAGCCCTCAGTATGTTTTGAAAAAGAGTATAAGCAGACGTGATGATAAAGTCGATGAAGGTATTTGCAAATTTCAAGAACGGAATCCCAAAACTATTCGTAAGCCCCCGCCTTGACCGTTGAAATAAAGGCACAAGCAAATGTAAGGACAAGGTCCCCAGAGCCATTGCAGATGCTTTAAAATCAAAACTATAAGGCGAGCAGATGTAGGAAGAAAACAGTGAAGGCATCTGAAAACGCTTGAACAAACAGAAAAAGAAATAAAGAAAAGTAAGAAGAGGAATTAATAATAGGGAAAGATAACTTACATGCTTGCTGGACACCGCCAGCAGGAAGATTACCCAGCGCGAGGCGGGGAGGGGTTGCTGATAGGTCACGAAACTTTGCATCGTCCTCTTTGGCTTCTATTTCTTGGGCGTTCAGTGTGCTGGTGCTGGTCTGGTGCTGGTGCTGTTGCTGTTGCTGTTGCTGTTGCTGTTGCTGTTGCTGTTGCTGTTGCTGTTGCTGTTGCAATTCCTATCTCTTGAGGATTCAACTTGCTGGCGCAATGAGAACACCTGCCTGCCCTAGGACTACCCCCAGAACCACCCGGAGAGAGCTGAACCCACCTACCCTTTTTACCACTTAGAAGCGTAATGGACTTCCTCACCTGTCCACCGTCCTGGTAATTGCGAACAAGCACCGCCAGCTCATTTGAAGCTTATTCCCCATTTCCCACCTGACACTCAGTCACTATTAGCGCGTTAATTCGATATCCTGCAAAACCCCCGAATCCGATTGTCCATCTCGCTCAGAAAATCAAAGAACCAACAACCAAAAGCCAGCATTTCCAACCCGACGACTGCAACCACGCCATCACTCACCTGTCAACCCTCTGCTATCCACACGGACATCGAAATCGAGACTTTCATCATCTCTATCGCCATCTCCGTCCCCAAAAAATATCACACACCGAAGCAATAACCGTCGATTACGATCCCGACCGCAAACCTCACCCCCAGCATTCCAAACCCAACGATGATCTCAACACTACTCGCCAGAAGCACCCCTTGATAGACATCGCCAACGAAGAGATATCAGTATCATTGTCACCTCTACCATCATCACCTCTACCACCCTCTTTCCCCTTCCCGACCGACCCTGCTGCCTAGGTAGATATCTCCCTTACAACCAACGCCACCCCCACAGCCACATCCCTGGCCCTCAGCATCTACATACAACGCGAACTCCACCACAGCATCTACCTCTACTCGCCGCCCGAGTAGGAGGGGGAGGAAGGAATATCCAAAAAAGGAGAGGCCTGATTCCCCCGCCAACGTCAATCCGCGCAGTCGCTGGTCCCCCTTTCCCGTGCGCGCACGCTCGCTTGGCTGGCCTATACGTTCACAAGATCCCAAGCATCGCGAAGGGGGTGTTATGGTGATGAAGGGGGGTTTTTTTCTTTCTATTTTTTGGGGAAAATATGCGAAAATGACACTGTTTTTGGGAGTTGCCTTGTGGAATATGGGTTTTATGCGGGAAAAGCAGGGGTTGCAGCACCCCTTTTTCGTGCATATGCAGAGGATCGTGAAGCAAACAAATCAGGGGTTGCTTTTGCTTGGGAACTTGAGAAGATCGAGATATATCATTTCTGGTCATAAAAACACAGGGAAATGCTCTTTTGACGGGAAATCGTCGGAAACATTGAAATTGACGGATTTATCGTCGGTTTTTCGTTGCAAAAATGCCATTTTCGTAGAATTTTCATGATTTTATATGCTGTCAAATCATCAATATCAAGCGCTGGTCTCTCAGCCTCTCCAAAACGCGCTCCCAGTACTAAAACACGCTCTCAGCACTTAAATGCGCTCTCAATAGCAAAACGCGCTTCCAATCCGTCAGACGTTGTCAGTGCCCCTGAAACTTGATTCACCGCCCTCCCCACCCGTCATCACCTGTCAAAAGCTCAGCTGTCCCAAAACCGCTGTCATTTGTACACAGTATGTAATATCTCGCCCCGTTACGTAGGTACACTCCCCACGGCAGTCGTCCTCAGCCCTGCATGGGCGCCACGACCTTCCCCCCATCGACAATAATCAGCTCGTCAATCTTCTTGCCCACATCCTCCCCCCATTCTGACCTCTTCCACGTCGTGATCCTCGCCTCGTTGGTGTTGAAATCGAATATCCTGATCTTTCGGTGAAACCCACCGTAACCGGCGTACCCGCCAAAGCCAGTCGCGCCAGCGTAGCACATCCACAGTGCGGGCTTGGGCTGCTGGCCCTCGGCGTTGATGGATTTCAGGCCGCAGTACTCGTTCACGTGGTCACTGCCAAAGCGGGTTAGCACCAACTAACCTTGTTACAGTGGTAGGTTCAAGGCTGGAACAGGGCGGAACGGCTGTTCGGACGGGGTGGGCCGTGGAGCTGAGCGCTTGGCGAAGCCTCACGAGCACAGGCTCCGGACCCAGTGACCCAGAACGCCTTGGGCATGCAAGCCTCAGGCTGGACTGGAGAGAGGCTGGGCCATGCGTCAACAGAGCCCGCCAACTGCCCATGAATGGCTTAGACTGGATATGGAGGACATGCCATCACTCAACGACAGAGCCACCAACTATCCATTAGAGACTTCAGACTGGTCATGGAAGCGCCACATCAGTTGATACGACAGAGCCCACCAGCTGGCCACGAAAGACCGACCCAAACTGACAGGAAAGACACCTCGCCAGTTGAGGACAGGGCCCACCAGCTGACCACCCAAGACCCAAATCGGCCATGAAAGATAACCGCACCACTCGGCATGGTTCATCTCACACCTCGCCCTGCCCAAGCCCAACCCATCCCTCTTCCAGCAAGCCAACACATCAAATGAACAAGGTATCACTTACTGCCCACAACTAACCATCATCACCCCCTCCTCAACCAACGCCCCGTAGAACCCCGAATTATACGCCGGCGCCGTACTCGCCTCCCTCATCCACTCACCCACAATCGTCAGATTCATATCCCTATACTCCGGAATCGGAATATGAATAAACGCAACATCCATATGATGCTTCCTGTACTCCTTATGCGCCTTCTTCAACCCCTTCGCCGTCTGCCGAAACCAATCGATCTGGTTCTGCTTCAACCAGTCATACCCATGGTACTTCCTCTCGTTCGGACTATACGCGTGCGTGTCAAGCAGATAGACCGTGATGGCTGAATGCCCCGAGCTCCCCTGGGCGAGCACTTCGATGTAATAGTTCCCCACACCGTCGACATCCACTGGTCCGGCCTTGGAGAGGGAATACGGCAACGCCTCGATCAGCTCCATCTGCGCAGCCCTCGACATCGACCCCTCGTCGTCGTGGTTGCCAAAGATGGAAACATACGGGATCTTGTGCTTGATCAACAGCTGGGCGTACTTGAAGATGGCCGACTGCGTGTCGGGCGACGTCTCCCCGTTAACCTGATCCCCTGACAGCACCACCAGATCAGGGCTTTCTTCTTCGATAACCCTCTCGATAAAATCAATCGTCCTCGTGTCCGCCTCGCACTTGCCCCCATGCTTCTCATCCCACCCACCAGGCAGGCTATCCCTGCACTTCCCCACCCCCGTCGAAAAGTGAATATCAGCCAACTGCATGATTTTATACCGTCCATTATCCCTCACCCGCGGCACAGGCTTGGTGATCTCGACCGGCGCCCCCCTCCGAACAGTGATGTGCGCAGCATGGAACTTCCTCCCTCCGTCGAGAAGCAAAGCCGTCGAACCAGTCAGCATCCACCCGGCCCTCGCCTCGATGGCATCGTCCCCGAAAAGAACATCAACCGCCGTGACGGCCGATTTCGAGTCTGATACCCCCCGTTTGGAGGAGCGCTTGATCCAGAGGCCGCCAGGGCGGGACTCCCACTTCTCTTCCGAGTCTAAGTTCTCGGACGACTTGGAAGGGTTGAGTCTCCCGACTGTTACGTCGATGACAACCTTGTCTTCTGAGGTCAACTCCTCTTCTCGCTTACGCTGGACGTGGAGGTAGGCGCTGCTGAGCACCGACTGTTTGAGATACAAATCCTTCTCTACCCTGTGCCATTTTTTGGGATCAAGCTTGCAGCTTGAGAAGGGGTTTAGAGAGGAGCAAGTGGTGAGGGTGATGTCCGTGATGACGGAGCCGTGGTGGTGCGCGGGGAGATAGGTGTGGATTGCGTTTGGCAAGACGCGGTAGTGCCGGTCAAGGAAGAAGATGACGATGAAGGTGAAGATGGCGGCGGTGGAAGTTTGGACTATTGTCCGGACCTGGGAGAGGGGGTTAGCGGCGGGTCGGCAAGCCGGTGGTAGGACGTGTATGCAGGGTAAATGAGATCACAGCCAAGCTAGGCAGAGAACAAGAGAGAAGAGCACATACAATTCGTCGTGTCATTGTAGCTGTTGGATTTCTGTACTGAAAAAAAAGCAAAAAAAAAAGCCAAAAGCTAAAGTGTTGGAAAGGTCTCCAACTGTATCGATAGGTCTGGCCTATGGACTTGTAGACAGAGCTTCCCCCCCCCCGTCGGGTATTATGTGTTATATACTGGATGTATCGCTTTCGTCCGTCAGATCGATCTAAGATATTTCTACCTCGACGCAAACACGAACTTGCAGGAAAAAAGATCTGGGACCGGCCGCGCAGCAGCAGCAGCGTCGTGGAGGGTAGACAGCAGCAGCAGCAGTGGTCGAGGGTCTATGCCCATCTTTCTACCATGCCGGTCGCGCCACACACAAAGAAGAACCCTCAAGCTTCCTCTCTTCTTTTCTCTCTTGCTCTCTCTCTCTCTCTCTCTCTCTCTCTATCTCTCTCTCTGTATTTACCGATCTTGATCGTCGTCGCCGTCGCCGTCGCTCGAGGTTCGGTCTCTGTGGGTATGCCGAATGTCGAATTCGTTGGACGCAGCAAGGAGGGTGATGGACTCGCTTATTAACCCGTTGGAGATGCTCTCGAGCGCGTGTGATGCGAAGCGTAAGGGTGAGCCACGAAAGCTAATGTCGTCGGCGTTGCAATGATAGCAATGGAGCTCTAGGTACCTCGATGGGTAGGTCGTTGAACGTGGTGCTGGCAACAGAAAAAAGTTGAGAAAGGGGATGATTTGAAGTTGTCCAAGACAGGCAGGCAAGGGGCTTGAGGCGGCGGAGTGCCGACAATCCGGGGTAAGGTGAGCAGCCGCCCCGCCAAGATCCTGGTGTTAGGTGGGGTGGGGACGGTTAAGGGGTGAAACGTTCTGGAATCTTTCTTGGAGGGACATTTGAAGACGGTAAGTACACATCATTGGTGTAAATACGCTGGCAAATAGATAGACAATACATGAACGGAACGATAATTCTCTCGGTAAAGATATTTTGGGTTCTCGACACAACCGTGACATCAACTCTGCCCTACCCAAACTCCTGGATCACAACCACGACCACGAGAATGTAACCAACGCTGTGGTAGTGGTGACGTTCGGTGTGGTTGAATGAAGGCGTAACTTAAATATGGCCGTCTGAGTGGGCTCCAGAACACGAGCAGATGGCGTAAACGCCTAGTCTCTCAACAACTGATGATTCCGATGGTGTGATCACCACCGGCCTGGCCAGCAGGAAAGATAAATATCTCTCCCGACGCACATGCAACTCCATATTCACAATAAAATTCAACACACAAGTCGTTCATTTTTAACTTCTTTCCAAATTCTTTCCTATCAATATGTACAGCCAGCTATCCAATATCTCCCTCTTCCTCTCCCATCTTATATCTCCTGCACAGCAAGTAAAGACCGACCGGGGGTATCTCATCCTCATCTCCATCCTCTCTCCCCAACAAACAAACAAATCGCTCAAACGATGCCCAAACTAATGATACCCCAAAAAAAATTCATAACTCCATAACGTTCATTGTCTTCATCTCCTCTTCCTCCAATGTAATCCATCCATCCAGTGGGTGTTCCATATCATAGTGCGTGTACTCTTCCCCTCGTCGAACGTATTATCTCCAGGGAAAAAAAAATGTTGCCTATTAATAACCATGTATGTCCCTCCTCGCTCCTGTCGATTGTGAAGACATTTTGTCGAAGCGAAAAAGATGATGATGTCGCCGTGCTGTGTTTACCGGCCGTGAGTGATGAGAGGCGAAAATAAATGTCCAAGTTGTACAGAATGGTAAGTAAAAGATGGGCTTGCGCCCTCTTGAGTCTTTCTCTTTGTTGTCTTTCTTATAGGTCTTCGGAAATGTTGACAGAAATATATGTTGTTGTTGTTGTTGTTGTTGTTGTTGTTGTTGTTGTTGTTGTTGTTGTTGTTGTTGTTGTGCGTTGCTTGGTGGTGGTGTCGTAAACCTTCTTTGTGGGAGATTAAATACTCGCCACCCTCGCCCTATTCCCATCCGGCACTCGTCCATAACACACCATCAACTTCAAACTCGTCCCCCACTCCTCGCACTCCTTCACCAACATCCTATCCCTCCACATGCTTCCCTTCGACCCAGGCCACCCCATCCCCGGATTGGCAACTCCCGCGCTCTCATAGCACCTAGTATACCACCACCTCCCCACCTTGGCCACCATGCTCGTGATACTCTCATCAGCGACCGGTCCCTCCTCGCTCATCAGCTCTGGCAGGCTACGTTCATCCTTCTTGTTGGTGTTGGTCTGGGTAAAGGAGACTCTTGAAGATCGGGTAGCTGGGCTTGCGACGGGGATGCCGACTCGGCAGGTCTTGATGTCGGTGAAGCCCTTCCTGTTGATGAGACGCAGCATCAAGTCCGAGGTGGAACCAAGACTGGTGTCAGGGGTGCGGGCGTGGATCCTTTCTTTCAAACGACGAACAGCCCTCCGACCACGGTTGCCCATGTTGTTAAAGTCAACGTCGAGAATGGACAGCTCGATGAATCCGCCTGGCTTGAGAACGCGGCGGGCTTCTGAGATGATGTTGCGGTAGTGGGACTCAGGACCGGCGGCAGGGAAGCGAAATACAACTGCTGTGAAGGATTGGGCACCAAAGGGAAACTTGTCGAGATGCGAGCGGTACTGAATTTGGTGGTGGTTGGGTGGGCTTAAAGGGATGGTGGTGCTGGAGGAGGTTGAGCTGCGGTTTTGATGCTCGGCAGGCAAAGGAGCCCGAGGAGAAAGGTTGAAGAAAGTTGCGGCGGGATACGTCTCGGCAGCATAAAAAGACCAGTCGTCGTTGCCGAGGCCGTCAATCACCAAGATGGAAGGACGTTTCAGGGAGCCAACTTCAGGAATGAGCTCGTCGCGGATGGGACTGAAAAGCACATGGCCAAAAGTGAGCCACTTGGAGACTGTCATGGAGCCCACACGGAGGTTGACTTGAGAGGTTGGTGTGATCTCCTCAGAGCTTTGGCTACTGCAGCTGCCGGACGAGATGCGGGTCTGTTGAACTTGTGCTGGTGTGCTGTTGACTTGCGGTGCCGGCTCCGGTTTCTGAGGTTCGGCAGCCGTGGTGGGCATGTCAGCAGTGGGAATAGAGACGCAGATAGACATGCCAGTATCCAAGGCACGTCGAACTTCCTCAGCCATTTCCGTTGTGTATACACTGGAGCTAGTTTGCTCCATGCCCTGACGCAAAGCCTGCACCAAACTAGGCAAAGGCGGAGGGCTGAGAGTAGGCGACTCTAAAGCCGGCTCGATCCGTTTGGTAGCCTCTAGACGAAGTGGTTTCGGCCAGGCCTTGCCTCCAATGGCAGAGAACCTGGGAGTATCCTCCCCAAGCAGATCGTTATACTCGTCCCAAATCTCATCCTCTGCAAGAGGAGCGCTGGGGTCTGGGACAACTGCAGTGGCTTCCGCATAGTTGAAGAAGCCACCCGAGCTGCTCGAAGATGTTGTCGTGCACTGGGAGTTCTTCCGTGGCGAAAAGCAGAGGAACTCGTGATGAGAGCGACTGGGGTCGACAGGAGACAACCTCGGGATACCATAGATCAACGCTGAAATGTTGCTGATGCTCCGTTCCGTCAGCTCGTCCTGAACGAGCTCAGGCGTCAGGTCCTTGGGAGACATGGGCGCAGTGGCCATTGGTTCAACATTCTGGACAATGGACTTCACTGCTGGTGCTTGGATGCTTCGTCTGTTGAAGGGTCTCGAGAAACTGGGAGGCGAGAGTTGTTCTGTCCTGGCGCTGACAACCTTTGGAATCCGACCAACTTGCGGGAGTCTGCTCGGTCGAGGAGGAGCCTGTCGTGGAGGCATGGCCTGCCTCTCAGGTGGCGACATTGGTACTGCAGACATCGGCGCAGGGTTGATAGGAGAGATGACGGTACGTTTTGGGATGATAGACGATGGAGTCATATTCGCCTGGGGCACTGGAATTTGCGTCGAGCGTCTCTTATCTTCCGTAACCTTCACTGGCGGTTGAGCTGGCGGTGTATCTGCCCGTTTGGCTTCTCGAAGCACTTCATCGAGGTCTGGGGTTTCTGCATCCTCTGCCTCTGACGAGTCGATCAAGGTGTAGAAGGCCACAGGCTTGCTTGGAGGTGCTTCGACGGCGGCCACAGTGGGCTTCTCTGGTTCTACCTGTTTCTCCACGGCAGGTTGGCTATGGGATCGACCAAAGAAGTTCCACTTGCGGGGAGATCGAGAACGTTTTATGAGCTTCTTGGGGCCGAGGTTGGTCGAGGTGGCCGGTTCCGGTTTGGCCTTGGCCAGGCCTACCGAGGGGTCAAAGACAGAGTCATCCGACATAATGCTGGCGTCCAAGCTGGTGAGAGAGGGTGACACAACTTGCGGCCTGGTGACGATCGGCTTGGGCAGTCTCGGAGGCTCTTGTTCTCCAGATTTGAGCCGCTGTATAGATCTCCGGAGGGCGAGGGTAGGCTTCAACGTTTGTGCCTCGGAAACACTGCTTTCAGATGGGCGACGAGACGAAGGCGCAGGGGATGGTGTAACTCCGCGTGGAATAGGTGACGGCCACAGGGTATTGCGTGGTTGTTCGCGAGAGAACAGCGAGATTTGGGAGCTATTCCTGGACTCAACACTGGGGCGTCGAAGAGACATGCTCTGGCTGCTCTCGGTGCGTGTCAGTTCGGCACTCGCGTTTCTGTTTTCGATAATCTCGCCCCCGGCAATGATGACGGGTGCCATCCGCTCCGCAAGAAACGAATCGCCTGGCTTGCCCTCCTGCGAGGACATGGTACCAGGTATTACACGACCAGGGAGGGTGGTGCTGCTTCTCCGACGTGCATGTCCTAACCGCCCATAGCCCTCGTGTCCAGTGCCAGCCGCAGGTCCTTTCCTCGCCGTCTTATCCTTTTTCTCTTGCTCCTGGCTTGGCTCCGGTACTGTTTTGGTTCGCCGGCCAAAGAGCGTGAAGCGGCTCTTGAAGACTGATACACCAGGACTGGGTGTCCGGGTGGTCCTCCCAACTTCTGGTTTGGAAGAGGCCGGCACATCTCCA